AATAATTCAAAAATAACAGTTTTTAAAATATTTTTGAAAGTATCCCTGTGTTAAGAAATAAATTTGCAGAATAGTAGAATTAGTATTTTCTTTTATGAATAAAATATAAAATTATGAATCCAAAATCCAAATAAATGTTTCTATGTAGATATTTTTGCGCCGGATGTTTTCCATTATGTACTATAGATATATGTTTCGGTTTAAGAGTTAAAATTTGTTGTCAAAATCTGCCAAAGTTACCAGGTGCACCTGCACCTGTAAAAATGAACCGAGTCTGCAATCGGACTCATTGTACCTGATCCCTTGATGGAATTGAGTCTGTCATCTCTACACCCGTACCATAACCAAACTTTTTAATGTTTTTTTGTGCTGCCTTTTTTTAACTTTTTAAATACTTTTTTAAATCTTGATGTAGAATTTTTTTCTTTTTTTGAACGATGGGATCCCTCTCTTGTAGTGGTAGTTTTTAAAATTTGACTTAAGTTCAAAACACTTACATTTAAATAATTACTTACATTAAGTTATTATATTGTACTATAGCTCTAAAGATGGCTTTGAAAGCCGAAAGCGTTCAACGAGGAATTCAATGCTTTAAAGAACCTTTCTTTTTAATTCATTCATTAAATATAAAATAGTAGAAAAATCGACGACAGAGTTAGAAATGAGGAGGTCCTTAGACGGCTGAACCAAACAACACAACTGGTCAATATAATAAAGAAACGCAAGCTGGAATACTTCGGTCATATTATGAGACACCCTGAAAAATATGATCTTTTACATCTGATCATTCAGGGAAAGATCCAAGGTAATCGTGGTCCTGGTAGAAGAAGAACATCATGGCTGAAAAATCTAAGGCAATGGTATGGAAAATCAACTACATCGTTATTTAGAGCTGCTGTCAATAAAGTCACGATAGCGAATATGGTAGCCAACATGATATCCAACGATCGATAACGGTCATGGAACTAGAAAACTAAAAGTGAAACCGACAGAAACTGTCGGATGAAAATGCAGAAAATGTCGTGGGAAAAGATTTCGTACTTGTCAAGTATGATACGGATCTGTATTCTGGAAAAGTAGTTAAAAAGCTAGAAACCAAAATCAGCATTGGTCTGTATAGCCAGATATTTTAGCATACGATGAAAGAGGATGGAGGCCTTCCTCCATCCAGAGGAAGACCAAGAACAAGATTCCTAGATAACATAGACCAAGATATGAGAATATGAAATACGTGCTTGGCGAAGGAAGGCGATGGATAGGAAGGGGACGACTGGAAGAGAATTCTTGGGGAGGCTAGGACCCACACAGGGTTGTAAAGCCAAAACGATGATGATGGTCTCCCCCATTCTGCTTATGTGGTTATTCCATTTTTTCTATTTTGTGTCCATTCATTTAACACTGTACGTTACAATTTCTTCTGATGTCTTCACTTCTCTTTCGATCTCTCAGCGTATTTCCTGGTTTATACACTGGCTTTATAAATTCTTGACTTCATCTCAGTGGTTATGTGTCTGTTTCGCCATATAGTGTTATCAAGGCATCCTGCCAGTCTATTTGCTTTTTGTACTTGATCTCTCACTTCTTTGTCCGGATCTCCATAGCTGGACAGTGTAATTCCAAGGTATTTTATTTCCATTACTTGTTCAATACCGATGCCATCAATTTCTTTTTTACATCTGGTTTTACGCGTCTGTCTGCGTAACAGAGTATTTTTGATTTCTTTGTTTCCCATTCTGTATCTTCTTTCTTTGTTAACGCTTTTGATGATTTCATCCATGATTAAATTAAAGAGCATGTGACTCAATGAATCAATAGGTTCTGTAAGTTGTCCATCTATTCTGACTTCCAATTTGTTGTTTTGGTAGATATTTTCGATAGTTTTTATAATATTTAGGGAAACTTATCTGTTATACAGAAGATGGATTACATCTTAATCAAGAAAGAGGATTGGAAGACGAAGAATGGGAGGACAAAGAAGAATGGAGAAAATGGTTGAGAGAAGGCAACAGCGACAGCTGTAGGAACCCCTTTCATATATATAGGATTACATCTTACATAGATAGTACAATTGAGGAAACAGACATAGTACTAGTTATTCATAAATTGCAACAAAATAATAATAGGGGATCATAAATATATGACACATGAAATGATTTTTAAAATAATTTAATGAAATTTTAAACGAATCCGTCTCATGCTTTAGGAAAATTTCATATAGCTCAAAGTTTTGTATATTGTTCAAAATATAAAATTACACTATCCAGCTCCGGTTACCCCAAATTCCGGGGTAACAAATCTATCGACAAAAAATTCTCTTCAAGGGGGGTATGTTCACACCCGGTTAAAATGAGGGGCATTCAAATAAACTAACGTTTAACAATTCTTTGAGTAGATGGCAGCACGTACATCATATTTTACTTAGACCATTAAAACTTATACACACGCCTTGTGCCGAATCGTTGAAGCAAACACCTGCGCAAATGACATCACAATATGGCAGTTAGATTGGATTTTTCGAAAAGACCCTAATAAAATTACCTAATTTTAGATGAATTTTAATAAAACTGCAATATTTTGTAAAATATATGGAAGATAAATCATTTAGCAAAGCAATTAATGAATATTTTTGAATAAAAAGTAAGTTTGTAAAAATAAATGTTTAATTTGAAAGTGTACCTACCTCTTCTGTTTGATAATGAAAAATAAATTTAAAGGATAGAAATTTTACTTGTGGATGAAAGTTTCATTTTTGGGGAAAAATTATGTATATAAATCTATTTATTGACCAAAAAAAAAGTTTTTGTTAACTTACTTTTAGGTCTATTGACATTATTATTGAATTTCTTACCTTCATGGTACAACGTTATATTGCAATAATCAAAATAAATTATCTTTATTAGATTTTTATATTATTTCTTTAAGATGTTCTAGTAAAGATTATAAGGTATTAACTTTTTTAACAAGCCTTCTATTTGTGATTTGTTTGTTTTTCTTTTGAAATAATTTGTTTACTACTACTTTATATTCCTGATCTCTGTTAGATGATTCTGGTTCAACAAAGTCACCAAGATAATGTCTTCGCTTTTTCAATGAAGGTTCTTTCTAAGGTACATAGTTTCCTCTAGAATTTCTACTAGTCTTTATGCAATCTTTATCTTTATCATTTTTTTTTGCAATGATGAATCTTTAGGAAGATAGGAAGACAATTTAATTACTTTATCCTTCAGTTTTCAACGTAATTATAAATTGTAAATTATATAAGACTCTCATATATGTATATATTTTAAAAACTTTGGAAGAGAAAAGTGCATTATTGGGTGCTAAATTTCTGGTAGGTTTTCCAAGTATAATTTATGATTTTTTTACCCATTAAATGTTATATCTGTCCTCTTTTTGTGTCGCTGCGTACAATTAAATGCACTGCAAGATATGATAATTAAAAAAAAATAATTTATTGAAAAAGTTTTAAATTGGAACTTAACAATTATTAAAAGTTTGCAAATACCTATACTGCCGTCCTAAGCAAGAAGGCAGTATCTCCAATTTTTACAATTTTCGAGTTGGCTCTTTTATACAGTCTTTTATACTGCTTTTATATGTAATTCATTCTTAACGGTTGTAATAATATACCTTGCTTAAAAGCAGTATCCGCCATTTTCATTAAAATTTATAAAAATAGCTTACAAAAAAATAAACTTATTCAATGATATCAAAAAGAACTACAACAAAGTTAAACAATCCGGAATCCATAAATAAATATATGGTGGCTCAGCCCTGTTTATTAGAATCTGCATATCTCGAAACTTACATTTGTGGAGATACTGCCTTTTTGCTTAGGACAGCAGTATAAGCATTCCTAGTTTCTAACGGTTTCTGCCATAAACTGACGTCACGCATAGCTGCGCAAAGCAATGTATGTTTGCTTCACTCTTCGAAACGGGGGGTATAGCATACGGCGTGTCTATAAGCCTTAAGGCTCTAAGATATTTTAATATTTTCATTTTCCTGAAACTTATTTCTCTGAACAGTGACATTGTTGCCAGCGATGCCAAAGATGGTCTCCGTTGCCCCTGGTGCCTAGTAGCTCGTACCTAGTAGTGCCATAGTGGTGGTCCTCGTCTCTCGAGTTTTGTGGAAATTCGATACAAAATCAGTGCAAACTCGTTACTAGAGGGTTTTGGGTCGTGGAACACTAATATTATGTCGGCGATCGTCCTTAAACCTCCTGGTGCTTACGACGGCCTCTTCTTTAGTTTTATGGAAATTCGATACAAAATCAGTGCACACTAATCGCGGGGTTTTTGGGGTCGCTGAACACGAATATCATAACGGTGATGGCCTCCGATGCCCCCGGTGCCACAAGGAATATATGATATGCAACGACAATAATTTTGCTTTTATTTGTATAAATACAATAAATATAAGTGTTACAAAACTTTCTGTAGAGAGAAAATTACATTTAAATACCGGCCAAGTAAGTACTTTTCATGTGAACATCATGAATAACAAATTTTACAGTTAATACTGACGATATAAGTACATTATACGCTGTTTTGTTTTGTTCATAGTTTATAAACAAAAATTATAACAGCTAAGAGAGATTGTCACAGTAACATATTAAAAAATTGATAACTATTCATACTCTTTGATTTTTTAACAGACAAAACTTTGCAAACGTGAACACGCTGTTTCTGTTTTATTGATTAACAAATCCAAGACATATTTGTTATCGTATCACTTTTCAAAAATATTTTCCAGTCAAATTTAAACACTAAAAAACTTTTAGAATTGAATACAGATAAACTGTAAGAATTTTTTAGTGTTTAAAAATGGGAAAAAACATAAATCATTAACATATTGACGTAAAAATATCTTGTGCAAGTGTTATTTAAAAAATTGGCAGTTACACTCACTTACGCCCTCTATATAAAAAAATAATATAAAATATCTATTAATAAATAAATAAATATTTAAATCAATTGTGCTAAAAACAAATTTGATCATTCTATGGCTGGTAAACCGAACAACTCTGGTTTGAACTGCGTCAGGGAATCCAAGACTAGAGTAGCAGGTTTTCGAAGTTCCTGAGAAATGTAGGGAGCTGGTACCATCACAGCTTGCATACCAGCAGTGAGGGCTCCTCGGATTCCATTGGGAGCATCTTCAAAAACGAGACACTAAAAGTAAAAATGTAAGAATTAGAAAAAGTACATAACATTACATAAAAATAAAATGTCTGAAGGATTGAGCAGATGGGAACAGGGTTGGCAATTCAAAAGAGCCCAACCTGATATTTGGGAATATCCATTAGATTTTGTGAAAATGCTAAAACGGGTCGATTTTGATTCCAAATGGGACAAAGTATCACAAACCTTTAGCTACAATTGCTACTTCTGGTCTTCACATTTTTCACACTCCCTTTTTATGTCAGCTACTGATCCCATTTCATGAAATTCTGCCTTCCTCATTTTTGTCCATTTTGTGCTCTATCTTGAGCACTTTTCATCCAATTTCTTGAGAATATCAATTCCATCATCAGTGTCTAGGTGTACATGAATGTAGCCACTAAATATGTGGGTAAAAACCCGTTAAAAATTATTCAGTTAAATTTAGTTTACATTATTTATTATAAAATATTAAGATGTTAAAGTTACCGTTTGATTTGGTAACATGGCGACATATGACTCCACATGAAGTTGCTAGTCCTGAGACGGTGTGTCTAGAGGACTTTAGATGCTTTCAACACGTTTTGCGATAGAATCGTTTCGAACAAATTTAAAAATACTTATTTAATGCCGTTGTTAGACCCTACCAGCAAGAGTTCAAATAATTAAACTTTTTTGCAAATTTCTTTTAATGTAATTTTTTACGTGACGAAAATTTTTTTCAATAAAAATAGCAAAATATGGTGTTACGTTGAGTTTGTAAGAGACTTAACAATTTTAATAAATAAATAAACTTTTTATGGATGCCTTAATTCTCCATGGAAAAAGTAATATGTATGTCACAAATCACAACCACTGGTTCAATATATAATAAATCAGTGCAAATCCTGGCCTATGCTGATGATATCAATATTGTTGGAAGAACGGACAAAATACAAAAATTGTATACGAAAAAGCTGCACTCTTCACCTTTCAAATGCATTTTGATTTTGGCCGATAGGATACTCTGATCAAAAGATATCGAATTTTTACCGTCAATTTGATACAAATTTTATTTAATAAATTGATTTCGCGCGTGTTAACTGACATTTTTATAATCGCAGGTAGCTTCAAGCGTTGTTTCTGAGATAACGGTCAAAATTGACATTTTTAGAAAAATTCAGCCAGTTTGTATGATTTTTAGAGGTTCAGGTTTATATAAAAACATTCGATATTTCATCTTGATAAAATAAATCTATTTATATAAATATGAATTTAAAAACCATGGAAAACTTACTTTAGAAGGACTAGGTTTATCAGGAAATCTGGAAGCACATACTAAAAATATATCTGGCGCTGGTTTTCCATTTTTAACAGCTGGATCCGTGCTACCACACACGATGTGATGGAACAATTTAAAAACATCTTGGTGATCTTTGGTTTTTACTTGCATCGCTTCTAGGGAAGACGACGTAGCCACGGCAATGGGAATATCGTTCTTGTAGAGGTGTTTTATAAGTTCTAAAATAATAAAAATATTTTCATCAGGATTCGATCTCATCTAGAGATTGGCAATCATTATAAAATATTCTAATAAAAAAAAGGTGATGAAACTCACTGTAGTGACATAATCCGCCAAAAGGAGAAAAAAACGAATACTATGTGTGTTCTGCTATCCGTTTGTTAAAAGTTCTAACAGTTTGACCGATGTAAGTTTTTGGGCATTCGGCACATTTAAGTTTGTATACACCGCTGTCTAAGTGCTTTTTCCTTTGACTCTAGTTGTTCTTAATATACTTGCCTAAATTGTTGTTTGTTCTAAAAACTGGTGTTATTCCGTTCTTTTTTATGTTTGACTATTTTTGTTGATCTCTTGTATCAACATATCTTATAGTACCTTCTGCTCAATTACATTATACAGGTAATATATTAACAAAAATAGCCAAACACATGAAAAAGAAAGATAACACCAGCTTTCAGAACAAACAACAACTTAAGCAAATATATTAAGAACAACAAAAGCCAAAAGAAAAAGCACTAAATAGTTGTGTATACAAACGTAAATGTGGCGACTGCCCAAAAACTTACATCGGTCAAACTGGTAGAACTTTGAACGAACGTGTAGTAGAACACAAAAGGGCATTCAATAATAGAAAAACAGATTCTACGTACGCCCTTCACCTTTTAGAGCATAATCATTATGTTAATGACCAATTTCAAATTGTTCACATTCAAAATAAAGGCTGATATTGGTATCGACGCCAGTAAATTTATCAATGCTATATAAACAAGAAGTGTTCTTTTATGAAAAAGATAGGATATCATATTGAAGGATAGATATACATAGGACATATTGGAAAAAGACCATAAAATCCTTGTTTTTAATGAGTATTTATTGAAAAACAATCCCTTGGTACATCGTTGGTACAAACATCGTTAAGTATAGAAATGTTTCCATACTTTAAATAGCTGTATAAATAAATTAAAAATAAATAGTCTGTTAATATATTTTCCGAAACACATTTACAATAACATATCAAATCAAAGAAATATATCGAGTATGTCATAAATGAAGTTTTAATGTGATATTTATTAATCAATTATAAATGTTGTCTTTGGCGATTTTTTAGGATTACACTTAATGTGATAGAGAGAATTTATAAAATACGTCATTAGTGTTCAGTAGTATTAATTTTTTTCCAAATTAGCAAAAACAGGGTTTTTACATCAATGAAATAGAAACAAAACGTCAGTCTTCCTATATATCTAGCAATTTAGAACAATTCACATTCCAGACTCAGGAGCGTCAAGGGTCAAATGTAGCCAAATGTTACATATTTCTTTCTGATTCCTTCAATATACTCTATATTATTACTTATGATACTAAATGTAGTGAATTTTGACAATTATGAATTGATTTATAAAATAAAGCGGCCGATAAAATTACGGCCGCTTAATTGGTCAAATCACGGAATATGTTAGGGGAAAAACAAGTAGAAAAGTAATCAGAAGAGCTGAGGAAATAATTCAATCCAATCCGGGTCCGATTTGTCTCCCTTTTTGAACAGGGAAGGTTGATCCCGATTCTTGTGGTATTCTGTTCTGTTCTATTATTTTTTGGATTAGTTTTAATAGTTGTTTGGACAGATTTGGTCCTCCGTACTAGAAATACTGGAAATCTTTTCTAGAAGATTTATTTTGCTTAAAATATTTAATATTCATAAATATCGTTCACCATACCAATTCATAAATATGAATTGGTTTCGAAAACTTAGTTTACCGATTTATTATCAGATGTCGCTATTTACGTCTATACGAAGCCATGTTAGAGTTGCTTCTTAAGACAGAAAAGATTTATTTTCACGTTCAGAACGCCTGTGAATAGCTGTTCTGATTAGTCCTATTAGGGCGAAACACGTATAAGCAGATACACAGACGCATTGTACGTAAAATCAAATCTTAACTGTCTTTTTCCTTTTAAAATATTTTGTGTTTACCGCGCCAGTTTAGGATTGTGAGTTTGAGCTTTCCATGCAGTACAGACTGAGTATTGTAAGTTCTTATCCCCAACACAGAGCATCACAATAGCTTATAGAGAACAACCTATGGATACTTAAGAGAATAAGATACATATGAATAAAATATAATGAAATAAATACCTGCGAAACAATTGGGAATATAATATAGGTGATACGACTTTGTCCACAACTGTAGATTTATTGATTGACCACTCACGCATATCTGCACAAACAAATATACATGAACACCTGTACTCGTACTCGTTCTCATGCTCAATCAGCAAATCACCAGACATACGCACCACAATGTAGGCTAGAGAATTAATGGAGAAAAGTGTTTTCTAAGCGATATCCCAGAAAGTTGGCAAACTCTGACATAGCCTTGACACGATATGGGTGCTTTGCCATCCGAACTGTTTTACTGTAGTAGACAAAAAATGGACCAACCAGATATAGCTGTCAAAAATGTCAAAAATTTGTATGCTTAGAACACGCAAAATGCATTTGCTCCGACTGCCTACAGGATGGTATTTCCGAAGACAGCAGCGAAGATTGACTTGTTTCCGTTGATTCATGTATCTACTTTGCGTATCTAACATTTATTTTTTTATTTAGTCTCTGTTTAATTTCTTAGAAATAGTTGTTTTGTATTTGTTTAATTTGGGTTTTGTGTTTTATAGTATTCAAAATGTGAAAAAGATATATCTGTTAACTTTTATTTTAAAGCATACAAGAGTTTAAATACAAGTTATAATAAATTTGTGTGCAAATGTTTTTTGTTGTCTATTTTAATTATATATTTAAAAAATCGACAAGTTCTCAGACCGTTTTTCCGAAAAACCTTTTTGGACCTTTTCTAGATTTGCGGACTGCTAGTCTTAAGTAGTTTTCAACTACTTAACGGGGATGATTTCCTGAGGGGGTGTTACAATTACTGGAGGGTTTCTAGGTAACCCCCTCCTGTTTACGCCACTGCCTGATTTAGTAGTGAGGATCCGGACCGCGAAAGTGTAGTAGGTTTTCGAAAAGGACCCTCAGAGAATATAATTGGTGACCCCTGATGTAGGTTGTCTGTTGGAGATTTCCATGTATAGTCTCCTGGGCGGCAGATCATAATAAATATTAGCGACAATAAAATCGTCTCTTGGCAGAATTGAGCCAATCTGTCTCCTCTCTTGTTACGGGTGCCCAGTCCAAAGTTTCCAATAATTTTGAATACGGAACGTCTTTTAAAAGTAGTTTTAGAAATGATTCATCAAAGTAACGTTTCCGTAATTCTTAAAAACTTAATTTATCTCACTTTATTTCAATAATGAACGTTTGTTGATTTAAGACGATGTTGACTTAGGATGACTAAAAAAAATCAAAGTTATTTTAGTTTCTTTTAATTTTTTAGGTGTAGTGTGTGTGTGTGTGTGTGTGTGTAGAGTAATTGTCTTGTTACTTAGCAAAGTCGACGTCATTGTCTTTGCTAAGAGACGCTAATTGTATCCGAACGTCTGCGGTCCCTCCGGTGTGTACCGACCTAATAGATAGATATAATAATTAATTATTCAACGTACGATAAACAATATCTGAGTGGTATTTAAAAACATGATAATAAAGTTTTTAATAAAATCTTAAGATTAGCACTCGACGTGAATATATCAACTACATTGTAAATTAGATATCATAATTAAAAAGATATTTATATCGCGAATTATATCATAAGTATTAGTCGTACGATAGGTTTATCATATAAAAATATCAAATCACAGATTTTATCAGATTTTTCCTGACAAACAACATTAAAATATTGTTTGTTTTTCATTTTTCGTGTGACTAAAAGACGTAATTTTCGCGGAAATCTAGTGCCAAAAAAAACCGAACGATTAGGCTTAATGGTTTAATGATAAATTTCATTACTAAACGTTTCAACAACGTAAACTGTTGATTTCTATGTAAGCCAAGAATAAGTTGGATACAACGAACGTCTGCTGACGTCACATGCGGTGGGATGTACGAATGTTTGAGGTTTCATCTTGATAGACAATCGGAGTTTATTGTTCCTTCTGTTTAAGACATTTGTTTTCTTTCTATTTTTATACTGCATAGATTAGGAAATTAGCAACAATATAATTGTTAAATTTGTGGCATTTACAACTCTATTTTATCGGTGGTTTGGATATGTTTTTTAATGCTGTTTCGATTTCTTTCTAATAGTTCTTGTCGTATTTGTACCTATAACAGGTATTTTCGTGTAATCCAATGAACCAGAGGCGTGGTAACGTTTTTTTTTGTTCCAATTCCAATTGGTTTCTTCTGTTTCATCATGACAACTGTGGGAGAACAGTGATCCAAGCCAACCCCGGTGATTAGTATAATTCTAAACCCAAAGAAAAACTTCACTGTCCCACAGTTCCTTGCGATTTTTACTTCTTCGCTTGAAGACCCTTCGATTTAATGGACCACCCAGAGTTTCAGTAATTACGACCAACTTATATTGTTAACGAACCACTAGGTACCCTGAGAAACCCTGTATTGTTGTCTGTAAATCTTTATATCCTAATAGGACAACCTGTTAATCCAACAACAGACTATGTCTAGAAATAAAATACAGTAAATTTATGTAAGTTGGTTTAATATAAAATCATATACCAAATTTTGCATAGATTAAATGACATAACGTTTACGTTTACCTTCATAAAGAAATACAAGCATTTATATATCCCTAAGGAATAATATACATTTATTTATAAAGAAATAAACATCTATTTATATCCCTAAGGATTGGTACCAACCTATTTATACGATAAAGACTGGACAATTCTATCGTATCCTTAAACCCTAAAGGTTTTAGTTATAATTATAGTTAAATTTTAATGCTAATACTAATTTATTTACTGAATAGGTACTATTTTTAAATGCAAACTTTAAACTAAATGTAAACTTTAAATGCAAACTAATGCAGACTGCGGATCAATGAGAAATTTGTTCAGTCCTATCGTAAGTATTTTATTAACTTAAAGGCCTTAGCGCGTTACCGAAACCTAGGTTTTTAAAGAGAAGGAAAGCACAATAGTCTACTTTGGGTTTTCTTCGGACTCCTATTAGGTGTCGAATCATTCATTTTCCTAGATTTCAGCTATGCTCTATGCTGAATTTTGTATTTAGTAAATTTTACCTTGTTTTTCCAAGAGTTGTAACAAACCATCAACCATTTTATTTTCCTTAAAGAAGCCGGTACTTTAGCTTCATACACATAAACTGCATACTAAGTTCGTCACAATAACACTGATAATAACGCTTATCAAATGCACTTCCAACTACCGTAAACGCGGCATTACATTTTTGCACCGTTTCGACCCGACAACCATGACAACATATCACTCCGAAAGTTGTATATAGAATCCTCCTTGTCTAATGTTTTTCTGGGCACATGTGCATATTGCCCATGCATCCTCCCCTATTAACCTTGGATGAACTAATCCCAAATTTCCGCACTCACTACAAAAACTAAACATATGTTGGCCAACATTGCCTCTCGCTTCGATTCATATCGTAAGCAATACAGTATTTTTTTACACTTTAGAAAAGGACAGCCCTTGATAAGACAACAGAAATAAATCTACATTTTTAACAGCGGTGTGGTTTAGTTTTAAGATTTAATATTATATTTTATTTTCAAACTTGTATGGTTACAGAACGTAACAACAACGAAGAAGTTTTCCACCTTTTACTATAACTATAAATATATCAATTAGTTTCTTCAGAAAATATAAATTTTTTTGTCGCGGCTTTTAGTTCGGCTTCTTTTTTTTCTTATGAATTCAAAGATCTACAAACTTATTCATGTTATAACTCTTAAGTTTCTGTGCTAAATTCATGACAACTTGTATTTTGATGCATTTTGATGCATTGTTCCATGATGAAAATCCGCTAGAAATGAACGCAGTTTCTATCAATCTAGGCTTAGTACTGTCGTTCATGGCAAAACATCTGTACAAAAAACAGAAAGGTGCATCTTTTGTTGGACTGTGTCCCAACCATTTGAAGATGGAATAAGAAGTGGGTAAAAACGATCGACTTCTCATGTTATTCCCTGTGTCTGTTATATTGGCTGGATATCAGGTCTAGTTTTCGTTGGTAAGAATCTCTTATTATTCTCGAAGATCTGTCTAATGTTTCTTTCCGGTAATTTTAAGTGTCGGACTAGCAGTCCGCAAATCTAGAAAAGGTCCAAAAAGGTTTTTCGGAAAAACGGTCTGAGAACTTGTCGATTCTTTAAATATATAATTAAAATAGACAACAAAAAACATTTGCACACAAATTTATTATAACTTGTATTTAAACTCTTGTATGCTTTGAAAATAAAAGTTAACAGATATATCTTTTTCACATTTTGAATACTATAAAACACAAAACCCAAATTAAACAAATACAAAACAACTATTTCTAAGAAATTAAACAAAGACTAAATAAAAAAATAAATGTTAGATACGCAAAGTAGATACATGAATGAACGGAAACAAGTCAATCTGCGCTGCTGTCTTCGGAAATACCATCCTGTAGGCAGTCGGAGCAAATGCATTTTGCGTGTTCTAAGCATACAAATTTTTGGCATTTTTGACAGCTATATCTGGTTGGCCCATTTTTTGTCTACTACAGTAAAACAGTTCGGATGGCAAAGCACCCATATCGTGTCAAGGCTATGTCAGAGTTTGCCAACTTTCTGGATATCGCTTAGGAAACACTTTTCTCCATTAATTCTCTAGCCTACATTGTGGTGCGTATGTCTGGTGATTTGCTGATTGAGTATGAGAACGAGTACGAGTACAGTGTTCATGTATATTTGTTTGTGCAGATATGCGTGAGTGGTCAATCAATAAATCTACAGTTGTGGACAAAGTTGTATCACCTATATTATATTCTCAATTGTTTCGCAGGTATTTATTTCATTATATTTTATTCATATGTATCCTATTCTCTTAAGTATCCATAGGTTGTTCTCTATAAGCTATTGTGATGCTCTGTGTTGGGGATAAGAACTTACAATACTCAGTCTGTACTGCATGGAAAGCTCAAACACACAATCCTAAACTGGCGCGGTAAACACAAAATATTTTAAAAAGAAAAAGACAGTAAAGATTTGATTTCACGTATAATGCGTCTGTGTATCTGCTTATACGTATTTCGCCCTAATAGGGCTAATCAGAACAGCTATTCACAGGCGTTCTGAACGTGAAAATAAATCTTTTGTGTCTTAAGAAGCAACTCTAACATGGCTTCGTATAGACGCAAATAGCGACATCTGATAATAAATCCGTAAACTAAGTTTTCGAAACCAATTCATATTTATGAATTGGTATGGTGAATGATATTTATGAATATTAAATATTTTATGCAAAATAAATTTTCTAGAAAAGTTTTCCAGTATTTCTAGTACGGAGGACCAAATCTGTCCAAACAACTATTAAAACTAATCCAAAAAATAATAGAACAGAACAGAATACCACAAGAATCGGGATCAACCTCCCCTGTTCAAAAAGGGAGACAAATCGGACCCGGATTGGATTGAATTATTTCCTCAGCTCTTCTGATTACTTTTCTACTTGTTTTTCCTCGAACATATTCCGTGATTTGACCAATTAAGCAGCCGTAATTTTATCGGCCGCTTTATTTTATAATCAATTCATAATTGTTGTCAAAATCCACTAGATTTGTATCATAAGTAATAATATAGAGTATATTGAAGAAATCAGAAAGAAATATGTAACATTTGGCTACATTTACCCTTGACGCTCATGAGTCTGGAATGTGAATTGTTCTAAATTGCTAGATATATTGCTAGATAATTGCTAGATAATATCAGCAGCAAAAACCCAATGTATGACAACACATCTAAATACCCACTACGATGTAAAATCGAAATTGATGGGAAAATAATAAAGCAGGAAGCAAGGTTTAGATATCTGGGAATAGATATAACTAGTTACGGAGATGTTGAAGAAGAAGTACGAGTACAAAGCTTAAAAGCAAGTAAAGCGGCGGGATCTCTTAATGACACAATCTGGAAGAACAAACACCTAAGACAAGATACAAAAAAAAAGAATCTATAAAGCAGCAATTAGACCTATATTAACATACACGGCGGAGGCAAGACCTGATACATCTAAAGCGAGACGACTACTAGAAACAACAGAGATGAAAATACTCCGACGAATATCAGGGAAAAGTCTGTTGGATAGGGAGAGAAGCGAAAACATAAGAAGAGCATGCAATATAGAAGACATAAATGGATGGGTGACAAAACGAAAACAGGAGTGGAACGAACACATCAGTAGAATGGCAGAGGATAGAATAGTACGAATAGCACGAGATAAGTCACCAAATGGACGAAGAAGTATTGGCAGACCAAGAAAAAGATGGTGCGACAATTTAAACAATTTAGGAGGCTAATATTGAAGAAGAAACAGGCTTTAAAGCCTACATACAAGAAGGAAGAAGAAGAAAAAGACAATTTCAATCGTAATAAAGAACAAAGATCAGGAAGAAATACATCCAGACCTCGGCTTATAATCCCGAAAACTAATATATCAGTTTAAGATACCGGTGATGAATGTCTTAGATGTAACTATTTACTTACCTTTAACGCCAGGTAATAGAGGTGGGTGTGCAAGATCTTTAATTTGCCTTTTCTTGTAAACTACCAAAAATTCTTCAGGTGTAATAGGTAATCTTAATTCTTTTACAACTATTTTAGCCGTATCTACTTCCGGAGAACCTAGCACTTTTACTTTACAGTCATCGGTATATTCCTTATCATATTGTTTGGCAATATCACCAATAATTTCGTCATAAATGGATTCAGACTCTACAAAAGAAAACAAACACTTAAGTTTTGATAAAAATATGAGTGTTTTATTTTTTAAGTAATCAATCTTAACAAAACATGAGCAGAAATCAAATATGAATATCAATAAGTGATTTAGCAAGTAGTAAAATATGCATAAATGAAATTCCCTTTAAATTTTCTCCTTCTTTAACGCAAGATTTGTATCTTAACTATCGCAATAGTAAGATCTTTGTGTATTCTTGACGTGTTTTTTATAGACATATTTATCTTACTACATTTTTTGCTCCTCAATTCTGTTGTTACATTTTTATTGGTCTGCATAATATCTCTTTGTTTCCGTAATCTATCTAGATAGACAATTGAGTAGAATTAGGTGCTACATTTTAAAAAAAAATTGTAGCTGTGTAATGATCATCGAGTAAAAAGACAAAAGAGGGAATCTAATCCTTATGAAAAGGAGACCAAAAAAGTGGCCTCTGATGGCGGACATATCCGGAAATGCGAATGCGCCAAATTTAAATTTTCTGACACTTATTAACAGTAGCTATATAATATTTTTCAGAATGTGTCTTAGACGAGAAAGTTTTAATTAATTATTAACGGTAATAGTCTAAAATACGACACAATTGTTAAAAAACTTCAATATAAATAAGATTTCATGTGACATTTGGGACAAACAATAACATAACCCAACTTAATTTGATGTCAAACAAGGAGTGAGACTCTCTTTCCTTGTTTAATGTGGCCTCTAAAGATCGCACTTCCTGTCTAACAATATTTTTGCCCCCACTACCTTTACATTCCCTCTATTGTCTTTTTGCTCGATGGTAATGATTGACAGCACTGTATCCCCATCAGGGGCGGACTAAAGCCTAGGCAATAGGGATGTGTAGATCACCATCGAAATAGTTCTAATGAACGATTCTTTCAACTGAACTAATTGAACTAGTTCATTAATTTTCATAGAACTAGTTCACTGCGAACGATTTGCATTATAAATTATGTCTCGACTTCTAAAGAAGAAAATAATGAATGAATGAATAGAACATATATTTATTATTTTGTGAATGGATGGACTAACTAGTTTAAAAAAATGCCGATTAGCCTCAGATAACAGATTCATAATTCTTATGAATGTGACAATAACATAAACTATTATCTTAATGTCATAATGGTTCGGATCTTATGCCCATGTATTGGCTTGGATGTTGCCATGCTGTGTTGTTTCTTGTATTGTAATTTTGAAATAAAAATTTTAGTTGTGGTTAAAATGATTGAGGCATTTACATAAAATATAATTTTATGTAAAAGTGAGAATGAAAATGTGTTATTTAATGTTCCTAGAAAATTCACTGATTTTTTTTGTAAAGGTTCTTTTAGAAATAACCTAATTATAAATACCTATGAGTTTAAATATACGTAAATATAAAAATAAATCATACTTGAACCATATTTATATTTAAAACGGTTAATAAAAAACAAATCTTAATAATTTTTTGCAAATAAAAACTAACTAATCATATAATAATTTAAACCATTTAAACCTAAACATACGATCGAAAGAAATAGTTCCGAACTACTTGTACGGTAGTGAACTAGTGAAAGACTGACTGAAAGAAAGAAATAGTTCCGAACTACTTGTACGGTAGTGAACTAGTGAAAGACTGACTGAAAACCGAAGTAAACGGGCGGCCAGCGCCGAGCTTGTGTGATGATTGAGACGAGACATCTGGCAACCAGTTCTGTTAGGGTTGGATTTCGATGTCGGTCCTACAAATAGTTCTTTCGCGAACTAGTTCACTGAACTAGTTCATTTTTGTGAAATAGTTCTGTTGAACTAGTTCGTCTAAAAGAACTAATAAGCACACCTCTACTAGGCAATTTATGTACTTGCCTAGGGACTAAGAAACAAAACGTGTTAAAACATCTTGTCTAGGATGCTGTGAGAAGTTCTTGTGGACCAACTGCTTTTTTGACACTCATTACTGTCAAGCAAAAAAATTAACATTGTGTCCAAAAATGGTACACACAGTTTCTAAGAAGATAATTAGGTACGCGTTTATTTGTCACAAACTATGTGTACCATTTTTTGACACGGCCTTTACACATGATTTTTTTTTTCAAAAAAAATACCTTAATGTTTTTAGTAATAAATATTGTGAATTTCACCAAAATATAGTTTCAGTTTCTGACAAAAAACTTCAAATTTATAGCCAATAGCCAAAGTGTTAAATGAATGAATAATTTTCAAAATTCTGCAGGTTAAAAACTAAAACTTAATAGATACTTATATTTTTTTACATTTAGAAGAGCATTCAAGATTTCAAACGCATTTTAAACAATTAAAATCCGTCGATTAGAAGAGTGTGGAGGACGCTTCAAAAGAAAGGAGAAAAAGGTGAACGGTTCATTTGTTCCGGAGTTATGATTGGTCACAGTTAACTACAATTTACAGTAAAAGATTACGACTCAGCTTGGGAATATTTTGACACAAGCATTATCGGAAATATACAACATAAAAATTCACTATTAATAGGTAAAAATGAATTAACTATTGCAGATTTCTTTCACTAAAAAAAGATGAATAATCATGATATCATAAGTTTTGATTAAACTATAATCTATAGACTATAAAATTTCGAAAATAAACATTTAAACCTTTGTTCCGATGTTTTAATTGACGCAGTTTTATTGTGCTATTAAATGACAGGCGAAAAGTGTTTACTTGTAAGATACAATTCATATTGGCTATGAGCAATTGAGCATGCATCCACACAACACAAAATTAATAATTACTAAATTTACTAGACTGTTGGAACTAAATTTAATTAACAGTAAAAAGTAAGTCTGTACATACTTAAAAAAGAAATAAACAAAATGAAGTGCCTTAATTTAAATAATCACTATGTAGGTATACAGGACAGAGCCGTGTCGGGATGCAAGGGGTGCGTGGCACCCTGACGGCGCTCGCTTGGGGGGGGCAAAATTTACCCAAAAATAAAAATATCAAAAAAAATAAAATCAAAACGCCAAGCAAAGTGCAAAAAAAATAACTGGCCAAATAGTTGCTATTAAGAAGATAGCGTGGCCTTTCCCTGTTTTCACCATATTTCGTGTATGGCTGTTATGTCCTGACTTTAGAAGAGTATCTAGATATAGCTTGCGGTATACAAGATCCCCTGGTTCCATTTTCCAAATTAATTATTTTTTGTTTGCTAGGTTGTTGTGGTTCATCTTATTGTTTTCCCTTAGTTTTTACTGGTTTTTTTTACACAGTAAGGTTGTTGAGTCTACACCCAACGTCCAAACTGGAGAACCAGTAACTCTTCTATTAGGCTGATGCCTACCTTATAAACATGTTGAAATATTTTTTTAAAATATATTTATGTGAAAATCAAATATCATCATCAGTTGGCGCTACAGCCCTTCGTGAGCCTTGGCCTGCTTCAAAACATTCTTCCATCCTTCCCTATCGAGTGTCTGCCTTCTCCAGCCCCTCACTCCAATCTCCCTCAGATTGTTTAGCATGTTTAGCATAGTTATTATAGTGGGATCACTAAATCAAAATCAAATATAACAAGACCAATTTTTTCTTCGTTTTCCATTACTAGGTACACGAATGAACTCATCCACTTTGGTCACAACTGTTAACTTAGTAATGAATGTGTATAAATCTGTCTTGGAATCATTTTTGACAAACTAATATTTTATAAAAACTATATGCATTGATTAATTCAAATGTTTCCTTCAAACAAGTTCAAAATATTTTAAAGCACTGTATTACATTCTGGGATAACCCAAACTTTATGCTTACAAACAATAGATTACTTAACAGATATAAATTTAAAAAAAAACATAATATTCACTAAAAGGTAGGCAAAAGATGTGTGGTTCACAAGAGATACATACATTTTGATCCTTTTGTTCGGTCCAAATACAATTACATTTATTAACAAAATTTAATACATATACATGTACCTGCACTATCAAGTGCAGTACCAAATACATGATAATAACAAAGAAAACAAATATACCAACAAACATACATTTGGGAAATGTACCGATAGAAAGGGTTGATAAATGCAAATACCTAGGAACCTGGATTTCAGACAATAATGATCAAACAACTGAAATAAGAGCTAGAAATAGCAAGAAATTGGTTTGTAAAAATGAAAACAATTCTCTGCAACAAAGATCTTAGATTAGAACTGAGAGTAAGAGCACTGAGATGCTATGTGTTTTCGATACTGCAACATGGACTTGAAAGCTGGACATTGAAGCAAGCACACATAAATAAGTTACAGTCCTTTGAAATGTGGTGTTACAGGAGGATGATTAGAATAGCATGGACACAGAAGAAAACTAACACGAATGCAAAATAATAAACACAATAAAAATAATAAAGTTACAATATCTGGGACTCGTAATGAGGGGACAGCGATATGAACTGCTAAGGCTGATAATACAGGGAAAGATAAGAGGAGGAAGGAGTATTGGAAGAAAGAGAGTGTCATGGTTGAAGAATTTAAGGACTGGTTTAAATGCAGTTCTATAGAACTCTTCAGAGCAGCAGTAGATAAAGTAAAGATAGTGATGATGATATCCAACCTCCAATTGGGAGACGGCACTTAAAGAAGAAGCACTATCAAGATAGACATTAACTATCTGTGTGATCCTATATGCCTCTAAAAAGTTATAAATATCACTTATAGAGTAAAATATAACTAATGTACTAACCAAAAATAATCTAGAAATATGTTTTAGTAAGAAAACATAATTAGATATGATGGTTATTTTCAAATGAATGCATAGAAAGGAAATTATTAAGAATTAAGAAATTGTATTATAAGATAGTAATCGAAAAATATAAACCTTAATGAAACAACTCAATAAAAATGGTAAATAATTGATCATTCTCAAATGCCATTACAATAAAACAAGAATTTGCACTCAAAATCAATTCCAGAACCTCAAAGTCCATGGAAAAAAGAAAAAATGTATCTATAATTAATAAACAACTTGATATAAAGGTCTTTATTACCAAAAGTAGTCAATAGGGTATAAAATATACCTAGCAGTCACAAAATAAAAAAATTAAAATCATTAGATAACACCTAAATCATCTTGATATATTGCCAAACTCCAAGAAATTTCCATTGTCACCACAATCTATGTGTTTTGAGAAAATAAAATTCAGACAAAGCTTACCAAAACATCAAGAGCAATGGAAAAAATATAATAACATTTTAGTTTTAGGTATAAAAATGAATATACCAAAAATAATTGATGTTTGTATGTACACAGAAATTATTATTACAATAATAGAAACATGAGGAATGCTTTAAGGAAATCAAAAGTTTTATTTATCCACAGTCTGTTAAATATATAGCTAATGTTTGTTGTTAAACAAAATCCATTGTGAATTGTTAAAAAATGTGGATATTTATCAAAAATGACTTATTGCGAAAATTGTAATGAATATAAATGTGGTATTCGGACATATTAAAAAATACATCTTCTATAAGTACAAAAGTATAACTTACCCGGGAGTAAAAAAATTATTAGCAAAAAAAATATATTTTTAAAAAAACCCGTGTATATTTTAACAGTTGTATTCGCTTACCTATTAGAAGTCCATCCATGTCGAAAATAACATGTGTCACCTTTTTAAATTGCATTTTTGCCTAGTTTCTCACTAAGAAATCAAAGTGAAATTAACGAACTCCCAGAGTCTGTTGTAGAAAATAAACTCTTGTCCCCTCCACGACCTTGTCGATAACTCTGATTACTCACAATTCTCAGATCTGATGTTAGGATAACAAAAACGATATAGAATTAACCAGGTCTAAAAAAAATCACTCAATTTTCTTAACCTTGCACTTGTCCCCTAGGTAAGGCACATGCGTGCACGTGCAATTCATTCATGGTCTTTATTTAGGGATAAATTTAAACCTGGATAACTTAGTTCCTGTGGGAAACAGGATAAACGGTCGAATGTGGAAAATTGTATATTTTTGCTTAGATTACTGATAATTAATTTATTCGCGCATAGTATAGCCTTAGTTATAAAATATTAAATTAAAATATTTAGAAAAAATATAGGTGACGGCACCCAGCAACTTGACGTCGGTGACGTCGGATTTGACGTTACAAGAGCACATGGCGCATGGAATTTCCGCTGTTAGCAACCAATAATCAGGTAAATTGGTGTCACGTGTTTACTTCAAAAGGTATTATTGGCTTAATTATGCGTCTACCATATTTCTTCTAAATTGGTAGTGTATAATAACATAACTGCGGTGTGTTAAAAACAATATTATGTACATTGTATTAATATTAAAGTAATTTTTTAACTAAAATTGAGATGGTTGTTAAATAAAAGGCTTAAAATAGGTATTAATAATAGATTTTGCGATTTTTCAAAACTCTTTAATTGGTATAGTATTCTTCTATACTCTTCTTGTGTTGGTAGAAGGACACTTGATGAAGGATGTCCCAATTCCCTAATTTTTCGTTCCGGATGTTGGCGATCAGCATAGCTATCCTAATCTTACTTGCAGCTTTTCGGAATAGTCCGGTTGTAGACGTATTGAACCACTTTCTTAGGTTTTGAAGACAAGATCTGCTCCCTGGTCCTCTGTTTACAAATATCTTCAAATATTACAAATAATATCATTAATTAATGTTGTTCTGAAGCTATTATTATTAATTCCAAATATCTTGCCCTAAAAAATGAGTTGCAATAAGCCATATCTGTGTTCATTTCTCACAACATGGCCAAGATATTCTAATTTGCGCTCTTTGATTGTGTTAGTGATCTCGCATTCCTTGCCCATTCTATGTAAGACGTTAATATTAGTCATACGATCCTTCCATGAAATTCGTAAGATGCGCCTGTAACACCACATCTCGAATGCCTCGATCTTTCCTAAAGAAGATTTAGAAAGCGTTCATGTCTCTACTTCGTATAATAATGTAGAAAATACATAGCATCTGATGATATTCGCGTCAATTTTTGACCATATCTGGCTCCCCTCACTTAGTCTAGCGAGCAGACCAATGCAGTTGCCCAGGATGTGGCACGTGGAGCCACACGTGAGAGTTAGTTGTCTCATGAGGACCAAATCTTATCAAAAACCATCTCCCGTCTATGACGCTCGATGTGGTCGTTCCGATAAAAGGTGCTACCTCTATAACACAACCCAAGCACCCCTACAGGAACAAAAACACGAAGAGAAACTACTAAAAAGTAGTCAGTCAAACAGCAATAAGCTCGATAACAAGGGTCAAAAAAGTACCAGCGAGTAATCAAGAGCGATGCAGTGGAGGAAAAGTATAAACACCTATTTAAACAACGTATAGACCTTAAACAGTCACCAGAAGACGCAGTAATGTCTCCCTGAAAGCCTCAACCGTAGTAAATCAGTTAAAATTTTGCCTGAGTCATATATTCGGTTGAACAAATAGGTGAGCGACATGCTTTGGATAAAATATTTTAAGAACTTATGTATGCACATTGTCATGACCATGGCGATTTTGATTCTTTATTACTTTCATAAGCTTGTTGGTCATCACTTCAGAACTTCTGGGCCAAACCATTCTTCCCAGTTGCAAGGATGAATAATCAGTCGCAATTCGCAATGAATCTTACGTCTCTTTAATTTAAAATGGCTAGAGCAAATGCCACAATTATCATGAGATTAAAAAAAACTCATACTCAGTAAGCCGTGGAAGTAAAACATAGGGCTTTGCTTGTGTCAGCTGAGAATTGTCACGAATGAAATTTTATCCAACTGAACTTATTTGTTGTAAGAGTAATTCATGTGAAGAAAATTTTATTGATGGCAATTTTGAGGTGACACAAGTTAAGTAATATGTTTTTCTTCCATGGCTTACTGAGAACGAGTTTTTTTTGATATCATGATAAAAATCAGTCTGTATTCTAAATTTCTAAACAACAGAAACATGAATTATTTAGATTTTTGGAAGTGAGACCTTAAAAAACATATTTTATCTATCGTTTTATCGCCTAACGTATTTTGCACAGATCTGCACATATAGCCGGTTGCGGAGAAAGTCCTTTCGGCCTCTACGCTGGTCGGTTTTAAGGTCATCAAATAGTCATAAACCATGGACAAATGATTGCCTTTACTCCTTCGGTCTTACAAACGGTCATTTCCTTTTCAAAATCTTTTCGTAATCTTTTTGAAAACCAATGTTTTTGTTATAAAAGTTTTCTCTCTCCTGTTTCAGTTCAATCTCAACTTCTTATTCTAAAGTCAAATTCAAGAGCTCTGGATTAGGTGGCATATCTTCTACTTCCATTATGTCCTCTTGCTCGTTTATTTATACGACTTAACAAATTTTTCATCTCTTGTCGCATTGCATTCTTTTTCGGCGTGGGGAAATAACCAGGATTGTTTAGTCCTTCGTCATACTTTTTTGGATTTTGTAAGTACACTAATGTACCTGTAATTTCAGAGAGGCGCCGTTCCGCGATTCTATTGCGTAGTGCTTCCGATAGCTCGGCACTAAGGCTAGAGTCCTGGCTATTTAGTATGTCTAAGACAAATTTCAAGGATGTGTCGGCCGTTATCAAAGTGGACTCTCTTCTGCAAAGCTTCTACAGCCAGTTTCACCGGTTGAAGAGTGGCGATCAACTCATTGATTATTGACCACTCTCCAGCAGACAATTTTATCGCAGAATCAATGTCTATCTGCCACTGCAAACTGCCACCTGGTGCGGCAGTCAAGAATCAAACTTAATTCCTTGTACAGTACATCAGATTGAGAGAGGCACTTAATTAGGCGTGAAAACACTTTTACTGGCGAGAGCAAAAAGTCTACTAAAAATTAGACAAATAGAAGAGGTTTAAGAGTCAATAGATAGGCGTAGACGGTGCAGTCGAGAGAGAGAGAGAGAGAGAGAGAGAGAGGGCGAGCAATGCTGCAGTTCAATCGCACTTGTGGCACGTCGTACCTGCTAGCGCGATAGAATGGCAAGTTGCTGACTTGCGGCTTTGAATAAAAAGTCTTTTAATGAAGACATGAAGTAACTTTTTTCGAATTGAATTTGACACGTTTGCGGATCCACGCTGCTGAATCCAGCATGGTTTGCTAGATCCAGCATATAAAAAAAACGTGGATCCAGCTGGATTGCTGGATCCATTGCATCTCAGTCACGAAGCGATATACTCAGCATTGACCTTTCCATTTTCATCTGAGATATTTGCAGCGTTTTAGTTTCGGCACCATAGGTCATCACAGGCAACACACATTGGTCAAATGTTTTACGTTTTAAAGAAATTGGTATATCCCTTTTAAAGATGTCTTTGAGTTTTCCATAGGCTGTCCATGCTAGGTTTATTCTTCTTCGTAGTTCGCATGTTTGGTTGTCTTTTGTGATCTTTATTTCGTGTCCAAGGTATATTTATTTTTCCACCAGCTCTACTTGGTTGTCTCCAATATTGATATTCCCGCTAGGTACTAGGTTTGTCATGAATTTTGTTTTACATATGTTTATTTTAAGACCCACACTAACTGAAGTTCATGTAGCATTGTACATATCTCCTTGAGGTTGTCCGAGAACAAAACTATGTCGTCTGCGAATTTAAAATTTGTTATTCTTCTACCGTCAATATTAAAGCCATTCTCTTCCCAGTTAAGTTTTTTACAAGCATATTCCAGTACAGCGGTAAACAGTTTAGGCGATAAGATATCACTCTGTTGGATTCCTCTGCCGATTGGTATATGATCCGTATTTTTATGTAGTTTCACCAACATAGTTACGTTCTTGCAGTTTAATTTATACCTTATTTTTGGCTTCAGTAATTTCTATTCTATTTCTATTTATAATCCTCGTCAAACCAATGATTTCTTTGTACTTGCTGATCTTTACCTATTACCTCATCTGCGGGTTTATGAGGTCCAGTTTTCATTTTTTGCATTTTTCATTAATTTGAACACTCTCATTTCCATCATCATTATCTCAATAATTTGTTGCATATTCGAATGACGAATAATACGAATAATTCGAATGACGATAATAGATTTTATATTTTTTAATACAACAGAGAAATTGGCAGTAGACACTACCAATAATTATAGGTGTATTTTAAATTCAAATAATTGCAGTTCCTAATTTTCAAGGCTATATTTAATTATGCTGCTATCAATATGAAGTAGAAGATAAGATTATAATGTTTACTTACTTTTTGTTCATATATTGTATAATTGTATAGAGTGTTTCACGACGAGCTTACACTATTATGTATATATCGGAAAATACTAACACGATATTCATAAAAATTGGTTTATCGGGACAGATATAACACAGATCGGGATTACAAGATATATGACAAACTTAAAGAAAATATTTTGACAGATATGTCACTTCCGGTTATACTTTTCATTTCACGTTTATTTCTCATTTCTTTAAAATTCAAACCTTAGAAGTCAATAATTTTAAATGTAACACCCTGTATTTTATAATTAAAACACGGACCAAGGAGTGTGTCTAGCATGTGCGCGAGTCATTGGGATATAACAAAACCTAAAGACATAATGAAAGTAAAGGGTTATAATACCTTGCGTAGACCGAGGGAGGATAAGCGGTTTACTCTTAAAAGTGGCCGCTTCGCACTCCCAGAATGTCTCATTCTTATTGCAAGAAGAGACGCATCGAAAGCGTACACGCTGGGATCCGAAAGATGGTGAACTATGCCTGGTCAGGTCGAAGTCAGGGGAAACCCTGATGGAGGTCCATAGCGATTCTGACGTTCAAATCGATCGTCGGAACTGGGTATAGGGCGAAAGACTAATCGAACCATCTAGTAGCTGGTTCCCTCCGAAGTTTCCCTTAGGATAGCTGGCGCTAGATTCGTACGAGTTTCATACGGTAAAGCGAATGATTAGAGGCATTGGAGTCGAAACGACCTCAACTTATTCCCAAACTTTAAATGGGTGAGATCTTTGGTTTGCTCGAACTTATGAAGCCGTGAGAAACGAATCAGATTGCCAAGTGAGCCATTTTTGGTAAACAGAACTGGTGCTGTGGGATGAACCAAACGTCGAGTTAAAGCTCCAAATTCGACTCTTATGGGATACCATGAAAACGACGAAGTTTATTTAAAAAAAGAGTTATTAACGTTTATAAAAAAACGAAAATTTTGACTTATTTTGCAACCTTCTAAGCAACAAATAAGAATAGTATCTAACGTTTAGAAAATGTCATTTTGAAGGTTTTTTTTATAACTTATAAGTTTCTTCTCTTCTCAAATTTATTTCAAACGCTTTATTTTTTGCTGATAGCCGAAAAAAGCGAAAATTTACCGTTATTCGATCTTAATTTGTTAATAATTGACTGCAGGAAACATATAGGATCTTGTTATAGAGGTCCATACTACTCAAAACAACTGTCGGTTGCCTGGCCGGACGAGTGTCATGAAAAAAAGTTTATTTCCCTGGGCTAATTATATTTCCATAGAAAATAAACTAAAATTCCATAAAATGGCAAATAAAAATGGATGACATTTGTCCCCCACACCCTCATGCCACTAAATATGTCATTCTTAGTCACGCTACTAACGGGGGGTTAAAGTTTCTTCTTCTTAACGTGCTCTATCAAGTCCCCTTGACGTTGGCGATTAACATGGCGAAACTGTCTCTGTCTCGAGCTATTCTAAATAGTTGCTCAGCTTTCTTTATTCTTGTCCACTCCCTGATATTCTTTAACCAAGAGGCCTGCTTTCTACCAATTCCTCTGCGTCCTTCGATTTTACCCATCATAATAAGTTGAAGAATATTATATCGGTCTCCCCTTACTACGTGTCCAAAATAGGCCATCTTTCTACATTTGATGTTATCAAGCAGCTCGCGAGCAGCATTTGCTCTTTCAAGGACTGCCACATTTGTCAGCATAGCCGTCCATGGAATTTTTAGTATACTTCTGTGCAGCCACATCTCAAAGGCCTCCAGACGATTAATAGTGGATATTTTTAATGTCCATGCTTCGACACCGTATAAGAGGACTGAGCAAATGTAGCATTTAAAGTTAAAGGTTAAAGTTTACTCTTGTTATATAATATATTTTTCTATTAATGAACATTTTAAATTTACTGATTTTTACAGGATCTAAAAAAATTAATCTTATCATTTATGTAAAATTTAGCTGTATCATCAATGTTTTCAATATCCTGAAATGAGTGCTCAACAGATAATTTTTTTTTATTATTAATAATATAATGTGCCTATATTGATAATTTATATGTAAAATATAAAATAATCGCTGCCACTTTATTATGCAATATTCACACTTACTATGCAATATTTAATCTTTTCCCGACTGTGCGATATCAACTTTAGAAATTCTCATGACTTTATTTTTAAACTATAATTCGTTTTGAAATATAATTAACGATTACGTAGGTTTCTCTTGCTGTAAAAAAGAACCTCATTGAATCTGAGATCTATAGAGCTTCTTCTTGTCATATATTTTTATTTCTTTCCCTGTTCTGGAAGGAAAAGATCTAGAATTGTGAAACGTAAAAGCTTTTCTTAAAATCTTCAGGTTCATATTTTCTTCTATTGCTTGTTTTATTTTTTCAGCCAGGAAAATTTATTTACAATATGTCGAAAAATTTACAACTCACAATAGTGATCGAAATAAAGGACACCAAATCTTACTCTTAATTATTGATCTAACACCTGATATATCACGTAGATCAGCTAACCGTCATTATTCCCTATGTTATTCCAAGTGGTATAAAAAAATATTTTAGGGATTTCAGGTCAGTCAAGAAACTCCAAATCCAGAATAAAAAAACATATTTTTCTGTCCATTTTATAACATTTTTTTCCATATCGTTTAGGAATTGTTGGGGAACTCGAGGTGGAACGGGGTACCTAAGTTTGATAGTAATTTGTGCGATATTTAATGAAACTACATCATCATTTAACAAATCTTATGTTTATTTATTTATTTCTTTACAAGAAAAATATAGCCAAAGTTATAAAAAATAAACGTTTCTGAGAAAAATATGAATTACAAAAATGAAGGAAAATTTCCCATTCTGCCTCACCCCCCGGGGCACAATGGGGTGCCCCATACTATAGATAATATTATTAGCAAAGTTCACAGACGAGAACGCTTTCGCCATCGTCACTATCTAAACCAGCAAATGCTAGATTTGCCCATTTCTTACAAATGCTACAAGAACACCAGCCTTCATTGGACTTGAGTAGTAATCATGGCAATACAACTAGGCCATTTCTTCTTCTTCTGCGCTATCTTCGGGTTCAGTTTCAGATATTTTTTGTTTCTTTGCCTTAGTTTTAACCTATTTGTTCTTATTTTCTTTCCTTTTTCGTTGAGTTACAATTTCTCTCAGTTTGTTTTCATTATTTTTAAACCTTAATCTCTGTTTAATTTTTTTCTCTTTAGCTTCCTTATAGCTTGTATCTTTTTTAAAGATTCTTCCAGTTCAACCCTATAAGGTGAGGCGGTAAGAACAGCAGTCTTTCCACGTTTTTTTACAGCTCTTTTTGTTAGGGCTTTAACTTTTGGCAACGGAATTAGGTCTCTTGGCAACGTGACTGAAAAATGTGTGTCGGCATTAGTATGACCAGGGGAATCGGGCATCCAAGAACATCCTGGCTTAGGGACATTCACTGGCGGGGGAAGATTTTTGTCAATCAACTACGGGTGTGGGATGAACATTGGGTGAGGAGAAATGCTTCTGTACTGGCATAGCCAGCGATGTTTCCTGGATTGTACTGCCAACAAGATTTTCCAAGAGAATGTCTGTTGTTGCTGATGGTAGAAAGTCATCATCGTCAGATACCAGATTTTTCAAAGCCATTAATGGCAGTTCTCATATTTGCTGCACTTAAGAAAGCCTGGATGCGACCTGAGCAACTTCCTTATTTCATACTCATCATACAAGCTCAAGGGCTGCATGAATGCAAGGAGGAGTGAAGCACAATATTAACACACCATTGTCACGTGCTAGATCTATTGCGACCAAGTTCTTTGTGTGACAAGAAGTAACAGAACTGGGTATTCTTTCGTCACTTTAGAAAACAGAATGAACTGTGGTAGCCATTTTACAAAAATCTCTGCAGTTATCCAACCAGAGTCGCTAACTTCAGCCCAGCCTCCGGGTTAGACACCTGTTTCAAATTCACGTTGTTTCTTTTTTCGCGGAAATATTAACATTGGAGACATGTAACATCCGGCAGCTGAGTAACATATTTCGGCTGTGATAGTGGTGCCTTTTTCAGCAGAACTTAAGACACCTTGACGTTGTCCTCCAACCGCTATTATTTTCGAAAACTGCTTGGGAACCACGCTAATACCCGTTTCATCACAGTTGAAAATTCTAGTGGCTACTAATTCGTGCTTGTCCAGAATTTCATTAAGCAGATTAAAAAATTCGACACTGCTACTCTATTGAATCCCATAGCCCGTGCTCCAGAAGTTGCTTCGGGTTTTTTTAAGCTTAAATTAGGGTGACGTTTGAAAAACCTTTACACCAGTCTTCTTCTGCTCTGTTGAAGTTATGCTTGCAGTTATTCTTTTCTGCTAGCTGGTAAGCTAGTCGGCGAAACTCTTTCATAGTCATGCCGAACAGAATCATTCATACAAGAAAAAAAAAAGACGCTAGACCAAGAGAAAAAAGTGGATTAGATAAGGAGAAGAATAATAAGGAAGTTGATGGGAATAAAGAAAGTTCGACACATGACAAAAAGTTTGAAGTATCTTTTGTTGACATAATTCCACTACCAGGATGCTCAAAAGATGACTCAGTTGGAAATAAAAGATCCAGCCACAAAAGCAACAGGAAGCAAGATTCCGAAATAATGACATCAACACCAATGAAGTTACTTCTAGAAGACAAACAGCGGAAGTAGGAAGAGCAAATAAGAAATAAAGCCCGCAAAGGAACAAAACGAAAAATAGGCATCAAAGAGTCCAGTCCATCGCGAATAGTTCCAAAAAGAAATTGTATAAGAACACAGAAGATATATCATTTGAAGACGAGGATGATGACGATGACCGTGATAGGGACCTTAACGAAGATATTTGCACCATTTGTGGCGAATTCGGTAAAAACAGAGAACTCTGGATCCAATGCAGCATTTGCGGCCAATGGGCACATAAAGACTGTACCAGTTTAGAAGGCAAAATTTACATTTGCAATTTCTGCATTTAATTATTTTTTAAATGGGGATCATAATGGCAGTGGCCACTTGTACCCTTCGGCAGCGGGTAAACATGGCCACCAGCAGAAGTCTGAAAAACCGTTTTAATTTTTTTTTGTTCTGTTTAAAAATTTTTCGTAAATAGAGTTTGAAGAACTAAGGTTTGAAGTTTTATTTACGTTAACAGTACCTATAATTTTTAAAGCTATGTAGCAGTATAAATAAACGAAAATGCTTAGGCTGCCACTATCCCCCCCCTTGCACCTACGTTATAGAAAGAGAAAGTAACACATATAGAAAGGGAATAAAATGGTTTTGACATATAGTAAGAATTATGTCGTTTACTTAATACATTTTTCTAAGCATTATAAAATTTTATTTCAAATGTTACGTTTCATAGTTGCATATTTAAAGGTAAGTTTGAGAAAATGAGAAAATAATAACCAGTTTTCAAAAAGCTTTATTAAATGAAATATTATTTCTTATACAGTAGTAATCATTTTTAAACAAGATTATAATAACACAATTTAAGATGTAAATTGCTTGTATAGAATTGGAACATAATCATCATACTGGGATTGAAAGAAATTAGCACCAATAGGTTGCCCAAGATTATATTTTGCTGAAAATTTTCTATGACAAAACCCACCTCTGGCTGTGGATCTATTAGTCAATTTCGGTTCATCAAAATTTAATTTACCTTTTTGTTTGTACACCAAAAAGACATATGTATAAAGTCCTCCATTTGGTGGTGGTCCGGATCCAACATATTCAGTAAGAACTTCTCCTTTTGGAACGTCTACGCCTGGGATGTTTACAACGAGCCAATGATGCCACTGGCGATGTTTAGGATCTGTTAAGCTTGGGTCATCGGGAATGGTCATGATAAGTGTGTAAAATGAATCTTTTTCAGCTGACCATTTCACTTGCGGGGCATCTTTAACTTGTGTTGGAGTTAATTCATTGCCAAGATTCACCTTTACGCCACTGGAATACAAGACTTCAAGTTGTTGCTCTGGAACGACATCAATTACATCGGGTACAATACCGAACTTTTCCATAATTTTAATATAAGTTGAATATAATCTTATTTAGTATATAATACAATTTCTAACTGAATTAGTTTTGCGAATTGTATATTTTATACCAGAGAACACACATAAAAAAATTACACTGATAAAATTGTCAGATAACAGTCTAATACTTAATAGTTCTTTATAGTTATTAAGTCGTTCTATAAATACATTTATATTAGATGATATTTAATGTGTTAAGGAAACTTATTATATAGAGTCATGGGGAAAAATATTAATTTAAGAACCACTAATTTTACGCGAGCGGCGATTACCCAAAAAAGCAATGACCATGAATTGACCCCTAAAATCGTACGAACAAGCCGAATTTTGCAGAGAATATTAATTTTGGGACCCCAAAAAAGATGCAAGAAAGTTTATCACTTTTACCCACGGGCTTCACCCCAAAACCCAGCTCGCAGGGGATAGAACCGTTCTCCGATTCCACCAAAATAGTGTGCAGCACATTTGTTCACAAACATTTTGTGCGAAACTCAAGCATTGTGTGCTCACTTAATTAGAATTTAGATTCTGTCTCCACCGTCCAAAGCTGTGCATAACTTTTGTTAACGTACAGTGTAGCACACAGAAGTTGTACTAGCTAACCTCAGTTCTCAATATGGAAGGGTTGGAAAACGTAGTGTTTAGTGCTGCAGCTTGTGTTTTAATATGTAGTCTGCTTAAAAGAAAACGAAGAAGAAAACCGCGATGTTGGGTGAAGTATTTTCCACAGCGACGGAATGAAGAAATGCACAGATTTGTAGATCCCTTGAGTGGATTTAAAAATTTTACTCGTATATCGTGTGAAGATTTTAATAAGAGTTACTTATTGTCAATACCGTTAGTCCTCTTATTGCAAAGCAAGACACCAACTACAGAAAATGCGTTCATGTTTCAATAAGGCTTGCAATTACCCTAATAATATCTTGCTACTGGAGATTCCTTTGCAAGTTTAATGTATTTATTTAAAGTTTCAAAAGAACTTATTGTTCGGATTGTACCTGAGACCTGTAGGGCTGATAAGCGTGTTGAAGAAAAACCACCAAGTTAATATTTCACTATTATTCTGATCGTTGTCTTGATCAGTATCGCGAACCTGAAAACTTGAATGCGGTACCTGAATAAGGTGAAGGCATTTGAGTCGTAGCATATTTTCCAGTACCAATTATAGCGTCATACAATAAATTATCTATTCTTCTCGTGCCACTCCTAGCGGAGATTGGAAATCATCATGGCCACTGCGACTTTGTTAGCAGCGCGCCTAAAAAGTTCAATCGAACTACACCCGAACCATTCACGTAGATTACGAAGCCACGATATTTTTCTTCTTCCCACACTTCCTTTGCCCTTAATTTTTCCCTGCATGATGTTTCTTAAAAGTTCGTACTTTTCACCTCTCACAATGTGCCCCAAGTATTCCATCTTTCTAGTTTTTATCTCATTTAGAATTTCGCATCTTTTGTCTAAAGTTTTTGACAATGATATTCTGAGAATGCGCCTATAGCACCACATCTCGAAAGCTTCGACGTTTTTTATGGTCAACTGTTTTAGTGTCCAAGCCTCAACTCCATATAACAGGGTAGAAAAGACATAACACCGCAGCATTCGTATTCGTAACTTTATATTGATATCACGATTGCAAAAGAGTTTGCGCATTCTATTAAAGACTGATCTAGCGATTTCTATTCTACATCTAATCTCTTTTGTTTGATCAGTATCGTCTGTGATCCAAGCACCTAGATATTTATAACAGGGCACACGCTCAATCGTTGTATTGTCTATTACAAGATTAGCTCTGATGTTCTTTGATTTCGTGATTACCATAAATTTAGTTTTTTTCAAATTAATTTTCAAGCCGTAACTGTTACAGTATATCTTGAGACTTTGAACGAGATGTTGTAGTTCTACTAGCGTTCCCGTTAGGAGAACTGTATCGTCAGCATACCTTATATTGTTGATCGTCTCACCATTTATTATCAGACCAAGATCTTCTTCCTCGAGTGCTTGTTCACAGATAGCTTCACTATACAGATTAAATAAAAGTGGCGATAAGATACATCCCTGCCGGACTCCTCGACGGATTTGAATTTCTTCTGTTAGTCTGCCCTCAACCTTGACATTTGCTGTTTGATTCCAATATAGATTGCATATAATTCGAATATCTCGGCTGTCTATATTTTTCTTTATTAGAACTTGTCTTAGTGGTTCATGTTGTACTTTGTCAAAGGCCTTTTCGAAATCAATAAAGCAGGCGTAAATTTCTTGGTTCATGTCTAAGCATCTCTGTGAGAGAACGTTAATTGCAAACAGAGCCTCCCTTGTACCCAGCCCTTTTCTGAATCCCATCTGAGTGTTACTGATGTCTACGTCTAATTTCCTATAGATCCTATTATGGATTATTTTTAAGAACAGTTTTAGAGCATGACTCATCAAAGCTATCGTACGATATTCGTTGCATTCCTTTGTATTTGCCTTTTTTGGCAGTAGTATAAAGGTCGAACGGAGCCATTCCCTAGGTATTATTCTTATCTATGTCCCTTTGCAATAAAATCTTCATTCGCTCATCTTTAATTTTTCTTAATTTAGCCGCGACTGCTACAGCAAAAATATCGTCGTCTTGTTTCCATCTGCTTACTTACGTTGTCCATTAATGGACAATGCTTGGGCAATTCTCGGGTCTTCATTGACCGCACGACGTTTCAACGACTTCTTCGGAGTCTTAAACTATTCTACTGGCTTTTCTTATTCTTGACTTTTATTTACTGTACTATATTCTTCTTTTATTAACTGAAACGATAATAAGATTTTCTTTTTTAGATACCCAACACTTTAGAAGAATGGATGATGATGGAGCGTCAATTCGACCAACTTTGGAATTTTCCTCACTGCGTTGGAGCTTTGGACGGCAAACATATTATTATTCAAGCCCCAAATAATACTGGAAGTGACTTTTTTAACTATAAAGGGGGTTTCAGCATTGTACTTTTAGCAGTGGTTGGTGCAAATTCTAAATTTACGTATGTAGATTTCGGTTGTAAAGGTAGAATATCGGATGGTGGTGTTCTCAAAAATACTGGTTTCTATGCTAGTCTTCAGCAAGGAAAATTAAATTTACCTCAACCGACTGCGCTAACAGGCAGGAACAAACCAATTCCATATGTTATTGTTGCAGATTATGCTTTTGCATTAGATATGAATGTAATGAAACCATATCCAGGCCAACATGACAAAAGATGAAAAGAAAGAATATTTAATTATCGGTTGAGCAGAACGAGACGTATTGTGGAAAATGTGTTTGGAATTTTGTCCACTGTATTTCGCGTACTAAGGAAACCCATACTGTTGGCTCCAGAAAAGGCACAATTAATAACACTGACATGTTGTTACTTGACTAATTTTTTGATGACATAAAAGTCGTCTGCACAACTTTACAATTCTCATGGCAGTTTTGATAATGAGAACCAAATAACTTACTACTTTTACTTTTTACTTTTAATGAGAAACTTACTACTTTTAAGAAATGTCGGACTTAAAGATGTTAAAGATATAAGAGAAGAACTAGCACATTATTTTCAAACTGACATCGGAATGGTGCCATGGCAAAACACACTAGCCATAAGTAGTCCCTTAAGTGTAATAAAGAGAGTAATAAAATAATAAAACTAACCTGTTCATTTATTTCGTTTGTGAGTTCATGCTGGTGTTCGGTTCATCCCTTCCATGAAAGAAATTTAAATATGCATAAGCAAACCATTGTGTCTTATATACATCTGAAATTCCAGAGCCTGAAGTGGAATCTGCAATTTTCTTCTTCTCTCTTCGATATTGAGCCAAAATAATCTTCCATTTTCTCATTACCTCAGTCTAGTCACAATCGAAAGTTTGAGCCAGCTCTTGAGTGGAATTCTGTTTTTGTACTCATTGTGACTGGAATCCCATAGTAAAGGATAAGTTTTAATTGTTTCAATAAATTTTATAATTTTTTCATTCGTCCAGTCCATAGTCATTTTTTTTCAAAAAGTGCGCGTAAAAACAAAATGTTTTCTATCCGAGAGCGGAAGTAATACTAAGTTCGTGAACAAGTTTGTACGCGTCAACGCGAGTCCACTGCTTCCATGTGTGCGCGCACAAATAAGTAACAAATGTTTGCGCACAATTTGTTATTGTTTGCGTGAATGGGTCGACCAGAATAAACATTTGTGTCGTACGCTGTACATACAGTGCCGCACAGTTCAGCACACTGGTGGAATCGTACCTTTAGAAACAACGCGTCGATTTTGCATGTCAGTTACGCCGCGAAATTAATGTTCATTAAAATTTGTATCAGCTCAACGGTAAAAATTCGATATCTTTAGATCCAAGTGTCCTATCGACAAAAATCAAGATGCGTTTTAAAGGTTAAGAGTGCAGCTTTTGTATTTTGCCGAGAATAAACTCAGTTTTTATATAGATGTTAAATAAATTAACGTGGCGCGATTTTTGCCATTTTTTTACGATTTTCGTAAGATCAATAAAATTAATCACTTTCATTGACCAGTTGTAGTAAAATTTTTATTTTTACAGATCAATCTTTTAAACCTATGACATGACATTTCAATTTTGAGTTGTGTGTGTTTTCAACCCACATGGTATCTCAGCTCCCTTCAAACATTTCGATTTCTTATTTTAATATAATATACTGTGAATATTTCCGCAAGCATATACGAGCTCTGGCTATTAAATAAAGAGAAGGCATCCTAGAGGCGAAGAGTGGGAAACGAATGCAGCATTGGATAGCTGGAACTGTCTACTCTTCCAGTACGAAAACACGTTTTTGTCGCTGTAGTAGTATTTTTGTGTAGAGATTAGAAAAGAACATGTTTTTTTTCTCGTGCCGATAACCCTTCGTGCCCTTCGAATAGTATAAAGAGTTTTCTGAAGGCCGAGAGAGCGCCGAAGATGACCAAAGTCCAAGTCGACCTGTCTCTGTTTCGACTCCGCAAACAGTGACTAAAATAAATAAAATTGTGCGCGGAGATCGTCGTATGAGCATTCGGATGATTGCTGAGACTGTAAATGCCGATAAAGAAACTGCCAGAAAAATTTTATGTGACGAATTGGACATGAAGAAAGTCTGTGCGAAGTTGGTCTCAAAAAATTTAACACCTGACCAAAAGCTAGTCCGTCAACATACTCAGATTTTCTTGAGAGGTTACATGAAGAGCCTGAATTAATGGAAAACATCATCACTTGCGATGAAACCTGGATATTCAAATACGATGTTGAAACTAACGACAATCCATGCACTGGAAAAGTGCCCTGCATCGCCAAGAATGAAAAAAGCAAGGATGTCGAAATTAAAATTTAAAGCCATGCTAATCGTTTCTTTCGACAATAATGGCATCGTAATGACTGAATGGGTTCCAGAGGGTCAAACCAAACTTACTATTTGAAAGTTTTGGCAACGCTGCGAGAGCGAGTTCGTAAGAAACGACCGGAGTTGTGGAAAAATCAAGCAGTGGATCTTGCACCAAAACAACGCACCTGCCCATAACGCGCTGTTTGAAGCGTTATTTAGTCGCTAGAGGCATTCCAGTGCTCGAACGCACACCATACTCGCCTGATTTAGCACTCTGTGATTTTTCCTGTTTCCGAAGATCAAGTCTGCCTTAAAAGGAATCCGGTTCGAGTCGATGGAAGAGGTGAAGCGAAAGACTTCCAGCATTCCTTTGACCAATGGAAAAAACAAATGGAACTGTGTGTGTGTCAAGGGAGGGGGAATATATTGAAGGAGAGTAGAATAATTTTTAAAATAGAACTCTTTTTCATAAACTGTCTCGTTATTTAATAGCCAGACCTTGTATGAGCCTTAGGGCATATCCATATTTTATTTGCTCGAAAGGTATTTTTCAATGGACTATATACCAACTCTGACATATGGAGGCGAGTACTTGACAATTATAAAAAGAAAAGAAAGCAGAATACAGGCACAAGAACTGAAATTTCTAAGATGTGTGATTGTACCAGATGTGAAAGAATAATTATTGTAATAAGAAGTGAACTAAATTGCAATGAACAGACTCAAAGAGTGGATGAAATAGTTAGTTAGTAATAGTAGAAGTGGATGATGTTCAGGAAGAAGCATAAGAAGCCTAGAAGACAATTAGTACCAACAATGCCTTATATATTAAATGAAAAAGCAATTGTAGACTAATTATATTGTAGATATAGAAAGCCTATAGAACTTTCTATAGGGTGACCTGACAGGTCTTTTACTTGTATGTATATTTTGAATCTTTCATATCCTGTTAAGATAGGTAAGATGTTTTCAAGAGTTGTTCTTGTTGGAAGGGACATCTATTGACAATATAGAACTGACATACTGAAATAAGGAATTTGTGCAACCCACTTGGTAGAGGAAGTAAAAATATCTATATAAGTATATATAAGTTATATAAGTATATATATAAAAAAAAAGTTACTACAGCTCCAAATAAGATAAGTTTGGATAGTGAAAAGTAGGTAATGATAGTATAAGTACCTAGGATTAATATTGCAAGTATAAAGGGTAAATATATGGAGAGGCATGCAGAAGATGGAAGATGAGATGGATTAAATGGAAGATATGCTAGAAATATTATACATTAATACAAAAGAATACAAAATATAGATTAATATTTAACAAAAAGATGAATAATTACAGGTGTTTCAAATTTGTGATGGTAATTTTTGCAGAAAGAGTCTAAATTATTACTAGAATGGTTTAAATTCTACAAATTAAAGCTTGGAAGGACAATAATAACCAATTTTCAAAAATCAATACAGTTTTATTAAATGAAGGCATATTTCTTACATACTAATCATATTAAATAACAGGATATCACAATTTATCCTCCCAATTGCTTGTACAAAATTGGAACATAATCATCATACTCAGCTTGATACAAATTACCAGCAACAGGTTGCCCAAGATTATATTTAGCTGCAAATTTTCTAATAGAAAATCCACCTCTATTATCTCCGGATTTGTTGGTCAATCTTGGTTCATCAAACTTTAATTTACCATTTTGTTTGTACACCAAGAAAACATATCTATGAAGACCTGTATTTGGTGGTGGTCCAGATCCAACATATTCAGAAAGAACTTCTCCTTGTGAGACATCTCCTCCTGGAATATTTCCAACGAGCCAATGGTGCCATTCTCGGAACTTGGGTTCTTTTCGACTTGGGGCATCAGGATCGGTCATACAAAGTGTGTAAAGGGAATCTTTATCGGCCGGCCATTTTACTGCCGGTATATCTTTAACTTGTGTTGGAGTTAATTCATTGCCAGAATCTACCTTTACACCACTGGGATACGAAACTTCAACTTGTTGTTCGGGAGCAACGTCGATAACATCGGGCACAACGCCGTGCTTTTCCATATTTTTGCTTAAAGTTGAATAAAATCTTGAAGTACTTGCAATCACCGGCCTCCTTAAAATTGACAACATCATGTCATATGTTCATGTGACCTTGTGACCATACAAAGTTTAAAGTTTTATGTCCGACCAGTGTTACCAAATGGTAACTTTCATACTGCTAGTTACGTTAGGCATTTTCTGGTAATTAAAAATCTAAACTTCAACAATTTCAATCACACAAAAATACTTATACCCGGTTCGCTATTCCCAGTCCGAACTGTATAGTGATTTTAGTAATTATTTTTTTTCGAAGTTAGTAACTTTTTGACAGACTCAAAGTGGCTGGAAAATACTATACAACCAAGCATACGTGCTCTTAGTCAATATTAATGTAAACAAAAGTAAATAAAATAGAACTTTGCCGACAATCAATATTTATTTATTTACACCGTATAATGTATTGATAACAAATAATAAAATTATTTATTGTACAAAATAAAAAAGTGGGAATAAATTCTACAAAATTAAGAAGTCAAAGTGAGGTTAAATAAGAATAAGACACAGCAAGTTCCTTATGTATTTACAACATTTACATAATTCGATAAATACATTTTAATGATCAACTTACCTCAACAGGGTTTTCATTCGGTAAAAAAAAATGGTAGGCATTTTGAATAAACCTTTGTGCAGTTTTATTACCTTGTAATCTAGGAACAGCATCCTTACTAATCTAAAAATATTAACTTTAAAAAAACTTTTTAAAAAACATTTTAAATAAATTTATAATAAATATTTTTTTTTTAAATATTTATTAAGAAAAACTTACCAACGCATTAGCTGATGGAACAAATGGAAAACTTTGACTATCCATAATAATAAAATTTAAAATATAACTAATTAACTGAATAGAACTAACAAAAGAATTAAACAAAGATAATAAAACAATATTAAATTAAATAAACAACGCGAATAATACAAATATTTACTACAATATTTTAAATTGTAACAATTCAAATATTATATTTTAAATATACAGGGAAAATTTGATGGGTTTAGTATACACTTCCACTATTTAGAATAATTCTTCTTTTTTTCAAAGAGAGAGGTCTGCAATAGTAGTATACTTGAGCTATTTATACTGAGAAGTAGGAATTGTTGTGTTGTAGGTTTCCTACAATGAGTCTGTCAAAATATGCCCTAGCTAAGCGAATAGACAATATTAGCATTATCACAATTATACCTATTATTATCTTCTTTATAGTTATATACAGTACATAAGAAAACATAAAAAAGTTTACCACTAATGTCGACCATGGAACAAAATATTTTAGTTTGACAGTGTTGCCATGTTTTTATATTTTATATGTTTATATGCTTCCAATAGAAATCGCTTTTAAAAAGCATATTTTAATTATACTATTTGATGCATTTTGTAATTTTCTTATTTATATAAAACAAAAACGAGTAAATATTTTTTCTTTCGAGAACAGTTGCAGTAGTTAGTATTCGATAAATTTGACTTCCTCCAAATTACAGTTGCCAGATTGCAAGAGATGTCCACCTAATATGGATTTTAAGATCAGTCCTCTATCATGTTTTTGTCCACTCTCATTATTTTACCACTTTATGTTTGTTTTTCATCTTCAAATTATCGCACGCTGTTTCCCAAATAATTATAACGATATGGCAACACTGTCAAATCAAAATATTTGGTTCCATGCTTGACATTTACGGCTATTTTCACGGTTGTCTTTTTATAAATGATGTCAAAAAATTTATTTGACACTTTGACAGCGACTTTTTAACCTTGTGAAGAATGAGAAGTAAAATTTGTCCCATGTCTGTAGTTCCGGTTCAATGAATTGTTTACAAATTGAAGTCAATGTCATTGATAACTTTTCTATTTTTTACGGCTCTTATTTATTTTATAAATAATTAAAATCTTGTGCTGTTAAAGTTTTATTGTTAAAAAGTTTTTTTTTCTTTTCAAACTGGTTTTTATAAAATGAAGTGTATTATCTTACTTTTTTGTAACGATAATACTATCTAAAGATAAAAATAGTAATCACAGCTCAAAAAGCTTAACTGCGAATATAATACAGGTTTTCGAATGATATCACTAGTAATTAACCTAAACTCATTTATAATTCTTTAGCTTCATCAATTGTTACAGACATGCAGAGATTATATCTTAGGATATTTAACGAAATAGGAAGAAAACGATTTTCTACAGAAGTATCAGCAGCTGCCACAAAGGTTTGTTTAACTCTAACCGGGTTTATTTATTACTAATATTTTCTTTTTTTAGGAAAATGTTAAAGCAGAAACGCTTACTGATCTTTTTGGGAGGAACCACACCTATCTTAGAATTTCTTTAACAGAAAAGTGCAATTTAAGATGTACAGTATCTAAATATTATTTTAAATAACTCTATAAAAAGTGGCATTATAAACTGCAGTGTTCAAACTGCAATAAAAAAACATTTTATATTAAGTAAGCATAAAAAGTTTAGAACTTTTAATAAGTATAGGAAAGTTAATTTGGAATATTTTAAAATGCTTTTTCATTTCATTTTTCTTGATGCTGTCACCCCCTGATAATTATTTTCACTATACCTGACAGCTGGAAATATGTATTAACAAAGAAGATTGCAGATGTTCTTAATAATTTTAAAATACTTTGCTCTAGGTTCTTTTGGATTTGAATTCTTGAACCTGTTGCTTATAAAAAAGTACTTATTTATACTACTTCCATCAATGCTAACATAATTGACATACATATAATATCAATTTTATTGTATACCACAATTTATTTTAACATAATTGCTGTGTAAATAATATAAACCACTTTTTATAGAGGTATTATGTTCATTAATTCTTTTATTAATAATTTTTCTTTTCTAGGTCAGTACTGTATGCCAGCAGAAGGTGTAAAGCTTTCAGAAAAATCTAAGCTGCTGACCACAGATGAGGTGTTAAAAGTAGCTGATCTTTTTGTTAGAGAAGGAGTTAACAAAATAAGGTTAACTGGTGGAGAGCCTACTATTAGGAAGGATCTAAGGGATATAATCTGTAAGTGTTTAATGAACTTTATTTATTAGGTTAGAATGTGCAGTCCAGACAATCTAAAGTAACATAGTTAGGATTAGGAATTTTAGCCTTTGAAGAACAGTGCTCCATTGTCATATAATATCAAGTTTTGAATTTATTATCAAAAATGTTTTTATCAAGAAAAGCGCTATTTTCTATTTTTGAGATAGCATTGGAAAGGACAGTCATCCATTTGGTATATTTCTTATTGTTTTGAATAGTTATTTGGATTGTCAAGGCTTCAGATCTCACAGTGTTTTAGCTTGCCTTTCTCACATGTTAAGGTTGAGTGATTTCTGATTTCAATTGATCATTTTCTTAAATATTTAACTCTCATCAGGAGAAACTTTTTGCTACTAGGTTTTTAGCCTAGAAAGGATCCATTCTTTAGGAATTCATCAAAAGTTTGAAATGTCATATAGATAGTGGCCCATTTCTCATAGATCCAACTAAGAAAGTTACAGCCTTTGATCTCATACAGTACATTTGGGAGATCATTATAACTATTTCCTATAATTTTCTCTTAGATATAATGTAGTTACCTACACACCTTAAGGTATGCAACACCATGCAAATAGCTATAATATTAAGTTCTAGTTTCAACTTTTCATTCCCTCAATTTAAATGTGAATTTTTCAGAGTTTACTAAACAATACTGATAAAGTGATGGTCATTAGTTAGTTGCCAATGACAAATAAAGAGTACTAACAACACTGACAGAGTGATGATTTTAGTTAGTTGTCAATGACCATAACTGATATAGAAATTTTGTTTTTATAGCCATTGTATAGTTTGCTCCTCTGATACTAAATTTAGTTTTTCATAATATTTGGGAGGTTTAAAAATAAATGTCCTTTTAAAATGTTTTTCTTTTTAGATAATCTAAAAAAACTCGAAGGCCTAGAAGTGGTTGCTATGACTACCAACGGATTAGTATTAACAAAACAGTTGGTAGCCTTACAAAAAGCTGGACTGGACATCTTAAACATCAGTTTGGACACCCTCAAGCCAGAGCGATATGAGGTTATGGCTCGTAGAAAGGGATGGCAAAGAGTGATGATGGGTATTGATCTTGCGTTACAACTTGGTTATAATCCTGTCAAAGTCAACTGTGTAGTCATGAAAAGTAAGTTTGTATATCCTTATAGAGAAATATTTGTCAATTAGTATATTTTTAATTCAGTTTTACACTATTTTGTACTACATGTGTAGAAAAATCAAAAAATTATTACTCGATCTGTAAAATAGAACTAGAACTGCCGAAGTATCTTCATAAATTGTTGTATGCTTGATGAAAAATATACAAGTAACATAAAAGTTATAATTCTTTTCTTCCTGTTAACAGAACATGATCAAGGCACTAATATTACCATCTTTTATAACATACTGGTATTCATCCATATTTTCAACTCTTTTATTCTCCAACTTCAGCTTCTGTAAAATCACATTCAGTGAAATACTGCGTTTTTCATAGTGTATTCTTATTCTTCATAATAAGTTCTTCATAGTGTCAATTTGTTACTATGACCACTGGTTGTGCATGGTTCCCATGCATGACGTTATTGCTCGTTCTAATGAGGTAACATACACTGTTACTGAAATTTTCCACATATCCTAAATCATATATGTCCAGTTCTTCCAATTTCGTGTTTGTAAAGAAAGAATAGAATCTGGCAACTTTGAACAGATGATGCAGATAATTTTAGATATTTATTCTTCAGTTAATACTTATTTCATTCATGATTAAGTATTGCTATGTTTAAATTTTTAGATTTCAATGATGATGAAATTTTGGATTTTGTGGAACTCACCAAAGACAAGAATGTCGATGTTAGGTTTATAGAATACATGCCATTTTCAGGAAATAAATGGGAAGTGGACAAAATGATTTCTTACAAAGATATGGTTAGTAGGATACGCAGGAAATGGTCTGATTTTTCCCCGCTTGTTAATGGACCTAATGACACCTCAAAAGTAAGTAAAGCTGTATCACATTTGTAAATTCGTTTTGTTTTATGTATAAGATAAATGTTAGTTTTCTGTGGTATTATGCCACAATTGATTGTTACGAAACTTACATGTTATATTTCTTATTTGACGCTTTGATTTCCATTCAAACATGTCTGTTTCTTTTATGACGATTGTTGCATATTTCCATTACACTACTGTGCTCGTTGTCCCAGGCATGTTTGCATTCAGTTCAGTAAAACACACCCAACAGTTACTTTTTGTTTTATATAACTTTTTATTTCCAGGCATGGAAAGTTCCCGGTTTCCAAGGGCAAGTAGGATTTATCACGTCTATGAGTGAACATTTTTGCGGATCCTGCAATAGACTTAGAATAACAGCAGACGGAAACTTGAAAGTCTGTCTTTTCGGAAACACTGAAGTGTCCTTAAGAGACGCAATCAGAAGTAAATGTTCCGACGATGATTTGACCGCTCTCGTTAGTGCAGCTGTAAAAAGGAAGAAAAAGCAACATGCAGGTTAGTGAGTTAAGCTTAGCAATTCAAAGTTCGATTAAACTGTACATTTAAAATGGTTATTCCTAAGATTTTGGTATTTTTTTTAAGTAGTTTTTGTCCCATTTGCTATCCTTGCTTCGTTTTTACTTTTTTTTTATTTCATCCATGATCAATAAAGGACTCAGGGAATCCCTGGACCATCCGGTCCCAAGGCCTTCTCATTTTTATACGTTTTAGCGCTTTATCAATTTCGTCTTTGGTGATTGGTGGCCCATTTATTCCTCTTGAGGAAGAATTTTTCTCAATTTTCTCGTCGTCTTCAAATAGCTCTTTTATGTATTCTTCTCATCTGTTTATTTTATCTGTACATTCCGTTATTATACTGTTATTTTTATCCATGATATTTCTGATACCCTTCTTCTTGTATATACCAGCAGTCCCTTTGATTTTCCGGTGTATGTTAAAACTGTCATGTTGTTTATCTAACCTTTCTATTTCTTCATACTTTTCTGATAGCAACAGTTCCTTAGCTTCTTTGATTTTCTATTTGATTGTTTTATTAATTTTTTTGTACTGTTGTTCGTTTTTATTCTTGTGTGCCCTTCTTTCCGTAATCAGTTCTTTTATCTCTTGTGTGATCCATTGTTTATTTTTAGATGATGTGTCTTCTTGAAGTTTTCGTTTTGTGATATTTCTCAAGATTTCCTCTGCTTTCCTCCATTTATCTGTTGCTGTCAATTGCTTTTGCCTTTCTACTTCCTGAACTTCTTTGTGCACTTGTTCTTTGATTTGTTGGTATATATAAGTTTCTTTTAGTTTTCTCAGATTGATTCTCGGTGTTTTGGCAGTTGTTTTTAACTTTTTTAACTTGAGTTTCATGTTTGCTAGAACTAGATTATGGTCACTTGTTATATCTGCTCCTGGGTACGCTTTAGCCCATATTATGGCATTTCGGAATCTTTGATTTATTATTATGTAATCTATTTGGTTTCTTATTATAATTTCACCATCATCTCTAGGTGCTTTCCATTTATATATTCGATTTGGGAGTTTATACCACGTGTTTTTGATATTGAGTTCGTTATCTTTGCAAAACTGAACTAGTCTTTTGCCTCTTTCATTACATGTTCCCAGTCTGTGTCATTATATATGTCCCTTTAGCAAGTAGGGATCGAAAGTAGTCAGCCCATGTTTTCTTCTGAATGTGTCTCTTTTTTATTAATTCGTTCATCTCTTTTCTTTGTCCTCTGATCATTCTCCATATTTAGCTTTAAGTTCCGAAGAAGTTGTGTTCCATCTGTTTTGAGAAGCTCTGCCATTGTTCCCTTTTTATTTTTCTGCCTAAGGTATATCGAATTCGTTTATAATAGTTGTATGTCTGTTGTGTTGTATATTCTAAAAAGGCTTTCTGTAGATTCATCGTCACTAAAAATACTTTAACGTTTTTGAGCTTTCTTTGTAGAACCTTTCCAGATCGAGGTCTTTGAAATGCCCAAAGATGCCTCTATCTAATCTAATTAGCTGACGAACTGCATCAATGTTTTGCTGTGTGACTGCTATTTTGGGTTGACCTGGCCTGGATTCGTCGCTGAGACAGGAGCTACCACGTTGAAATTCGCAATACCAGCGGTAAATAGTTGACTGATGTGATGCTTCATTCCCAAACACAGAAACCATTTCAGCTAAACATTGCTGTTGGGATAATCTTATCCCAAAAATTGTAAACAATTATTGCTCGAAAATGTTCTCAGCTAAGATCCATTTTTCGATCGACTTGCCAATTTAAAAAATTCACTGTATCTACATGACTTGTTGTAGCGCTATGAAACTCTCGATTTATGTCAACAAAAGATTGAGGTTGCATTTGTGTCGGAAGGTTTTATTGATGACGCCCTCTAAGCGGCTTTATGCAAAACTAAAAAGGCAAACCTCGCATTTATGTTGGTATTTGCTGTAAAAAAATGTGTTTTTTATTTTAAGTTCGTTAGTCATCAGTTCTCCATTTTTATGTTTTTCTTATGTTTTTTCTTGACTCCTGGTATTATTTGGTTGCGTATTCGAGCTTTAAAATCCCCGAATATTATGATATTCCCTATGACTTGGTCCATTACTTGTTGTAATTCGCCATAAAATGTTTCCTTTATTGTTTGAGGCTTTTTATTTTCTGGGCTGTATCCTCTGATGTACTAGAGAAAGAGCTACCAGTATGGTCTAGTCATGATGTGGTCTAAATCCTCTAAATTTGATCATAAATGTTAAATAATTGACAATTATGATATGAATATTCTAATAATTTCTCTGTATACATATTAATATCGCCATTTCATTTGGTAACAGGAATAACGAAAAAAAAAATCAAGTTATCTATCCTTATAGCTTTTATTGCACAGTAATGTAGCATTTAATTTTAACTGCTTGATTTATGTCTTTATATATGTTGTAGCCTATGTTAATATGTATTTACTAATTCATGCATGTTTTTTGTTACCATAATACATTCATGACCATTTTGCATCATTTATAAGTTTGTTATATCAGTTTTAAGTTGAAGCTGAATCAAATGAACAGTCAATATTACTTTAAAATAGTATGCACGAGAGACATGCATAGCTCTTGCAAGAACTACTATAATCGTTTTCATCGTTCTTGGCGTGTGCATGTAAAAACACTTGCAATAAGTTGTTTCATCTGCCTTTCCTTGTCTAAGCTCGATTCGTTTACCTCCTCCAGTGGCGGAGCACAATGTCAATCGGATTATATTGACAGTGATATGGAGGCAATCTCAAAACCTGATGCCCATGTTCTTGGAGTAGCTCGTCTATAACGTACCTGGTATTTTGTGGTTTATTCTGGCGACAAAGACTCAATAGCTCTGTCTTGCCCGAATCGTCGTCAAAAATTATTTTTTTCGCTCGTAACCATTCTTGTAAGTCCGATTTTTTCCAACTGGCATTCGGTAACTTTTCTATTAAAGAGCTATGGTATGAGGCATTATCCATAATAATTAGAGATGGTTCCTCCAACATTGGTATCAGCTTTTCGGAGACCCACTTTTTAAAAGACTCTTTATCCATAGAATCATGATAGTCTGCACTCTTCGATTTCGTAGAAAACAGTAATCCAGCATCTTTAACAAATCCTTGCCTACTTCCGGCATGTAAAACAACAAAGCGTTTACCTGTATTTTCGTGTCCTTTTCTGATGCTTTTCACACAGTCATCTTGCCAAGTACGTTTATATGCCCCTTTTAGGAATATCCATGTTTCATCTAAAAAAACGAACTGAAGTGGGCTTGGACTTAAAAAATTTCTCATATAATGCCTCAAAAAATACAGTCGTTTGGAGACAATACATGGTTTCTCACATAGCACTCGTCTACTATTTTCTAGTTTGTATGAAAACCCACAATTTTTCATAAGACGCCACAAACTTGTATCAGAACCGTCATAGAGATGCTTGTTTCTTAATTGTGTATTTAGAACTTTAATTGTAACGTGCTCTCCTTTTGCTTTCATGCCATACAGTACATTTCTAATCTCTCCTTTTATAGTATCGCTGACATCATTAGTCTTTTTTTTGTACATTACGTGACTCTCCTGGTGTAGTAAGAGCTGCCCCTGTCTTGTATTCACTCTTTATTCTTGTCACTGTGCGAAGACTGATTTTCAAAGCGTCCGCTACTCGTTCATGTACCGATGATAACGAAAGCAAAGGTCCGTTGTTTTCTTTTTCTTTTTTAAAATACTCCAATAAATGAACTACACATTGTCGCATTTCTCCTGTTATCGTTTTTCCCGGCATTTTTTTATTAAATAGAACAATTAGTTATTCACAACAAAAAATAATAAGTAAAACTGTTCGGAACAAATTCCAACAATGACTGACTAAAATCGACTAAAACAACATAAAATATCAATGGTAATTGCTACAATTATAAACCTATTAGCCAGCTCATTCAAGAACAATGCCACAAGTCATTATTGCAATGGGTATCGGAAGAGAGAGAGTTAATTTATAATAAACTGGAATTTTTAAGGTGTCGAGAGTATTATTTTATGTAATGGAATTCCACACAGTAAGAGCTCAAACTATTAATTAATTAAAAACTGTTTACTTATAAAAACTATTTCATCAGCTACTTCAAACCTGCACAGATCAGGGTAACATGTTAAAAAAAAACACGTCACTGCCAGCTATCTGTATTCGTAAAGAGGCCGAACTTATCACCGACACCGTATCGGCCAAACGCATCGGTGTTATTGCTACAATACCATGATATAAGGATACCAGATATGATATTGCCACGCACTAAACTCGTACACTCACGCGCATGACGTCACCTTGTGCTAAATTTTCAAAATGTATTCATGCTTGCGGATGAAACGAACTGTTGAAATTCTAATATAATTTACTAGATGTTTTATTTACTACGTGAATTTAAGCTTAAGTATTTAAATTAGTATATTGTAAAAAATAACAATTTTCCCATAAGAGTGAAGTTTGATGGAGGGAGCCATGGCCGAATGCCACAAATTGCAAACTATGGAATGTGATTTTCATACAATATATATTTTATATATAGTAGTTAGGTATTATTGACTGACACGTTAGGTAAACTATTTCTTTTGAGGTTGCAGTCATTAATAGGGCAGAATAAGTAAAACTCTTTGTTCTTTTATTTAGCTTTCACAAAAATTTATTAGCTTCTTCAGGATATGCTAAAATATGGTTATAATTATTTAATCTCTCCACATATATATATATATATATATATATATATATATATATATATATATATATATATAATATATATATATATTATAAAGTATTCAACTAGTGAATTCAGAGGTTAATCGGTCGTTCAGGTTGGCAAAATAAAAAACAGAAGTCAACTACTTCATAAGTTTATAGAAGACATTTCGCTTTATACTTCTAAAGCTTCATCAGTTCTAACTCAATATGTAGTATTAAAGATGTTATTATATATGTACTTAAGTTTACTCATTATTTAGAACTAACTT